AAGAGAGAGAGAGAGAGAGAGAGAGAGAGAGAGAGAGAGAGAGAGAGAGAGAGAGAGAGAGAGAGAGAACCCAGGGCAAGCATGACCCCACATTTGTCTATCCACCAAAACTGCAGGTCAGTTCCGGAAAAGGAAAAAGGACAACTGAAAAAGAGGTCGCCGCAAAGGAAGCAAGCACACTTCCTCGTGTGTACCCAGCCAGTGGCAGCCACGTAACCGATACTAGCAGCTCACGATCTTGAATCATCATGGAAGCAAGATACATACTCCTGCAAAACTGCTGGTCAGTTCCAAGAGAGGAGGAAGAACAGCTAAAAAAGAGGTGAGAACAAAGGGAGCAAGCACACTTCCTTCTGAATACCCAGTCATGTAACTGTTACTAAGCAGCTCACGAGTTCGAGTTCTGACGGAATCATCACACACATAGATAGAATAATCTTAGGCGCTGCTTCCTTTGGAAAAGGAAAAAGTTGGAAAACACACTTCCTCATGAGAATGTCGGTGTTGAACCTCATGCGGCGTTGAAAATCTTCCAACTTGATATTGATGACAGCAGATGACCTAAAAAGAGGACTGTTTGTGATTGTGTCAGATGGCAAAATCCGGTACTCAAAATGCTACCGTCAACGAAAACGTTGTTCAACTTCTGAATTTGGCATTCAAATATTATTCTACAGTTTTCTACTATTCTAGTATAATTCTAGACTTTCTAGTATAAAATCATCAACGAATCAACGATCGTCTTTTATTACCTGCACTTCTCGATTTGGTGCTAAGACCAAGCTTTTAAGGAGACAGCGCCTGCTTCTCCTGCGGCTGACCTCAACTCTTTGCAGAAAATCTTTATTTCGACGCCAGGCAGCAACACTTCTGTTCTTGCTCCCATCATTCAGCAACAAATCAACGGCCTGCAACCAAAACATTCGCATCCCATCAGCGACAGTACACTCATGCCATTACCACCTTCTTCTTTTTTGTCTTTTTCTGATTTTTCTCTTGAGGTCAGGGTTGCATACCTGCCGAGTATCGCCGACCCCGACCACTGACCATTTTGCAGCCGACCAGTAGGGCCAACCAGTCAGAAAACAACCATCCACTGAACTTTTTTTAATCTGTGTTGGGGGCTGTACTGTGCTTGCTGAGTACAGCCCAAATCCGCTGAGAAACTTTTAGGGAGGAGGGGGGGG